ATTATAATTTTAATGTTTTAGTTTTAATTGTTTAATTTTTATTATTTTTATTATTTGATTAAAACTTTTTATTAAAATTCTTAACATGATAGCCGCATTGGTTTTAAAAGGTTTTTCTAATTTTCGTCTTTTAATCTATTCATAATACTGGTAGATAACAATAGCCTCTGTAGAAATGAAACACTATATAATGTGCGTAAAAAAGAGTCTCTTCGTTCAGATATGATTGGCTATACAAGTGATTCAGTAGTGAAGATAAACCAGATCAAATTCAAATGAACAGAAGCTATTTCTTTTTTTGAATCTACACTCACTTTAATTTCACATGTTCGAAATGGTTGTCACACAATTAGACTTCGATTGCCGCATCATCATCAGCAGTTTTAAATTCTAGCTCTCAAATAAATAAACTGAAGTAATAATAATGTCAGTGATACAAAATCACTTTCTCATCTCGTTCTTCATCTAATTGCAGCACTATATCATCGTCATCGTCATACTCTTACTTACCTACATCCACAATGACATCATCACTAGCCAAAAATATGTTATGAATAAGTATTTATTCCTATTCTTTCAAAAAACTTGGTATTCGTAACGGAGAGCATGTAAGAAATATTGAGTATTTGTAATTGTACCGCAGGATGGTATTTTAGGTCCAATTGTCTTTTTGATATTTATTAATGGTTTTTCAACGTCTCTGGGAGCCTCGAAACTGACTTTTATTTTCGCCGACGATGTCTTCCGTGTTGTGGATCTTGAAAATGCAAATTTAAGCGCAGCTCAAGAATGTATGAACGAAGATCAGAGAACCCAAGCGTCAAAAAAAAATCTAGTGTCGCCCGATTCATCTAGATTACTAGATTTTTACTCGATTGTAACTACTGTGTAACGACAGTGGAAATCTAGTAATTGGGCGATTACTAGATTTTTTCTAGTTGCAACTATCGATTTATCACCCGATAATCGATCGATTTAACTATTACTAGATGACCTGCAGACGCATCTAGTTAAAAGTCCGTTTTCCAACTAGTAATCTAGATGGCAACTAGTCGTGTATCGCCCGTTTACAGACGAAATGTATCTAGATTTTTCCCGTAGGTGACATTTGCTTGGGAATATAGCGGAGTTCGTTTCATGAACAACCATCAAGGGAAAATATTAACTCAGCTATCGTCTAATCAGGATCACATTAGATCCTTTTACGCTCTCTATAGTGTTAAAAAAACAGTGTGATTTTTGGGTGAAGTTGGTGGAACTTTGACTCCAACATTCTTCTAGATACTTATTGTTTTGGTGGAAAAGTATAATTTTCTACGCTCTTATGTGTTGATGATATCGTAGTGGAGAAAATACTCTTTCTCTGAGAACCCAGAAGAACTGGACAATTTAAAACTTCTCTGAGAATTCTCTGCCTGTGGTGTGTTAAGGTAAAGTAGAGAAGTTCAGAGAGTTTAAGATATGCTAAGGTAAGGTGCCGCGAAAGTATTTAGCTGACACAACATGTTGGTTTGAGGAGTGCAAAATAGCTGTGTTCGGCATTCTCGGTTCACTGTTGTGGTAAGATTCGATGTTACCTTGTGATACCTTATCTTAACTGCTCTGCACTAGTTCACGTTATATTACCACACTTTACATTAGCTTTTCTTACAGATCTCAATGAATTCCAGCATTTGATAATTTTCCTAAAAGAATTCGATGCGGAAGTATATCAAATACCTTTTTCAAATTCAAATGACGCTCCTATTAATTTCTTTTTATCACTGAGAATATATAGTGATTAATTTCTGTTTTGATTCGTCGAATTTTTCCTACTAAGTCATGATCGAAGATTTTCCTACGAAGTCAGATCCTAAAGATGATACCTATAACGCTGGAAAAGAGATGAATTGTCAGATACAGCTTGGCTCATGTGATGTAATACTGCAAGATCTACGTATTTGTTATTCATTTTAGCTACCAGCACTACGAGTACAACATCAACTACAAGTAGGTGTTTCACATAACGCGATAATTATAAGCAAATTCGATAAAATGAATACAACTTTTATTTAAGGTACAACGTCAACTTCGACTACCAGTACAACAAGCACAACATCTACAACATCAAGTAATGCTTTGTCTTTACTGAAAACGAAATCAGTACTGCTAGAAATTCGAAAAAACTATAGCAGATACACCTTGATAGAAATCGATATAATACAAGGCATCAAAATGTATAATGTCACATTTCTTAAAAAAACCTCATATCCCGATAGGAATATTGAACGGTTGTGTTCAATTCATTTAGCTACTGCAACTACAACAAGTACAACCTCCTCAACGTCAACAACCTCGAAAAGTAAGATGGATAACAGATGATGTTGGAGATAGTTTGGGAAGTTGTTTGTACCCAGATCAACCTCTTTACAGCTGCACTGAATTCGAGAAGGTTTGACTCTATGCAATCGATACCTGTACTAAAAGTAAGTAAAAGCCTCAACGCAGCTGGGGTCAGTAACGGCCCAGGAATTTGGAAGCTTTTACGTTCTTCCGTCAGAATATCTGGACTTGTCGACAACTATGAAGCACTGTTATACCGGTACACCGATATTTCCGTGAATAACATTACCGCGAAGACTTATTTAGTCGAAAAGAAGAATAAAGGAGCCCGGATACCAGCAATGAAACTGGATATCTGTATCTGTATCACATAATAACTATTCATCACATAACTTCACTCAGGTTTCAAAACATGATGTATATAATAGAACATCAGATTCATTTATTCTTCTTTTTCAATAAACAAGTCTTCGCGGTAATGCCGTTCGCGGAAATGTCGTGTCACGGTTATATCACTACCACATAAGAGCGTACAAAGTTTCACCAAAAAAATCTATATGTAGAAGAACATTTGAGTCGAAGTTCCACCTCCTTCGCCTAAAAATCACATTGGTTTTTCAACACTGTAGAGAGCTTAAAGGGATCAAATGTAATGCTAATTAGACAACAGGTGAAGTTAATATTTTCCCGTAATGGTTGTTTATGAAAAGATTTTCTAGAGAGTCAGACAAGATCCTACCTCAGGGACATACATTATACTCAACCTGAATTTAAGCTCGGGATGATACCCATGATAACCTGTTTTTCATCGTGTCAAACTGCGTGCTCCGTGAAAATTCCATGTTTGTTACATAAAAGTATTTTTAATATTGTTCTCAGATTTTTCCATAATAGATCAATATTGAGCTACGCATTTGGCTGAATATCCGAATATATGTGCTCTTAGAAACTAAGCAATTTTAGCAATATCAAAGGCTTCTAAGAGTCTTCGAAGAAGTTTCTAAACTTGCCTGAAAGCCGATTTGTGTGAAATTCTGATATTTTAGCTAAATGTGGTAAGAAAAAGAGTTCAAGATCAGGTATCTTTCAACTTAGAGCTAAGCTTTAATCAAAAGTTAGAACAGCTTCAAAGCGCTCGCGAATCGAAGAACGAGCGAGTATGAGACGTTCGATTACTAAGTTCGAAACTAATCAAATCCGTAGAATCTCATTCCCAAAAATAAGAAATCAATCAAGTCATTTTTGTCAGAAAAAGATCTCATAGAATTTGTTTTCGATCTCCACAAAGATATTACAAACTTTAGTATTTCTTTTAAGCTACAACCACAACGACCACTACAACAACAACAAGTATGAAATGTGAATTTATTTGTAACAGCGACAGGTTTTTATTGAATTCGTCGTTCTTTCAGCAACGAACGCTCCTTTTACAACACTAATATTGTGGGCATTTGATGGTAATACAAATGATTATTCTGGCATTTATAACGGGGTTCCTATGAATTCTCCAACGTATGTTTCACCTGGCTATACTGGATATGGCTCAAAGATATATTTCCAAGGCACATTGAATCAATCAGTAAGAGTCACATATCCAGTACTAAATCTCGCTTATACGAGTTTATCAATAGAAGCATGGATTTATCCATTCAACGTATCCACGAATGCAGACGATAGCATTTTTTCGCAATGTCAAGCACTTGCAACTGATCAATGTCTTCATTTTGTATTAGCCTCTGGGTATCTCCGTATGAGATTCTATAATGACGGTTCACAGGGTGTCACACTTTTTCAACCAAACAGATGGTATCATATTGCATGTGTTTATGATTATACTTTAACAGCTCAAATTGTCTATGTTAATGGTGTTCTTGATGGTTCTTACTCACCGTCTGGTCCATATCAAGGAACAAGTGGCCTATTCGAAATAGGTATAGCAACCGTTAATTATAATATTGTGACTCAGCCTTTTAACGGTTACATGGATCAAGTATTATTCACTCCTCGAGCTAAAAACGCCACCGAAATTCTAAATGATGCAACACTTACCGCTTATTATTCATTTGATGGTGGCTTATATTTAGACTCTGGTCCTTTATGGATCAACGGTACAGGCGTGAGTGTTAATAGAACTACAGGTCGGGTTAATCAAGCTCTATCATTTGCTACATCATCCAGCTATTTTCAAGCCACTGGTTTTACTCTTTTGGGAACGGTAAATCAATCATTTTCAATAGCATTATGGATAAAACCAACAACGGTATCTGGAGGTGCTACGATTGTACATACTTCAGGATTAACAACCCGTACGGGATGGTGCATTCCAATGATTGGTTTGTCTTCATCAGGAAACGTCATTACTCAAAATTGGAACAATGGATTGGTTAGTGTGACAGGACCCGTTTTGTCTGTCAACGTTTGGACTCACATTGTCGAAACATACAGTTTTACAAATGGTGTTCGAATGTATGTAAATGGTGCATTGTATGGTGCTACTACTTCCTTTAGTTATTATGCAAGTGGCACACCTAATACAATCACTCTAGGAAATCCATTAAGTGGGTCAGCTTGTGCATCATCACCAGTCCTGCCTGGACAATTTTACGGTGCCATGGATGAATTTCGACTATATTCTAGAGAGTTAAACTCAACGGACGTCTATTCACTTGCTCATCCATAAAGAATCCTTACTCCTTCTTCATGCAGGAAAATTCATTAAGAGTGTAATATGCGTCTGGATAAAAGTACTAAAGCTGTTGGTGGGTAATTCTTTCGGAACTGTTCCACACTTTACATGAAGGTCTGCCGCAAAAAGTGCGACATATCTCATTTGAAAGAGCATTCAATTCTGAGTACGAATGCGTTCATTTAAAAAATTTTAAAACATCGGCATGGGGCTCTGGGGAGGTCCGACATTTGTGGATTTTATAGGCTCCAAGACGCAATTCATACCTAATTACCTCAGAAATGACAAAAGCGACAAACGTGAACACTTTAGGATATAGACTAGAGACAACAAGGAATAAAATGGCTCATTCAAAGAAATTCAGAATGCTTCATTGCTCTACTGCACTTGTTCTAAGATGGTGAAAATTATGAAAATCCGTCGTATTGAAATGCGTTTTCCACCATCAAATCGAACTCTAAACTCAAAAGTAATATGTGTATCAAGTTCCTCGTCATTAGTTCTATCTAGAAATGTAATTTTTAAGTGTTCACATGGCTCCTGTAAGTCTGCTGAGAGCCATCTTTCACAAGCGTTACGGCACTTATTTAATTTTTGATGGTCCCCCATCGAAATTCCACATTTTTAAGCAATTGCTCAATTTCAGTGGAAGTTAGGCAATATAATTTTAGCTTGTCTTATAATTAAAGTGCTGACAGTAATTTTGTTTTAAATTGCACAGCGGTCGTAAAATGTGGACATGGCGTGAGCTATTTCTATTTTTTTATTACTTAACTTTATTATTTAAATTTTATTGCCAAACTTCCAGTGGAATTTCGGCAATATTGCCCAACATTCGAGTGAATTTCGGCAATGCCGAACTTCCACTGAAATCTGGGCGTTGTCGAAAATCCATTGCCGAAAATCCTGTTGCCCGACGTCGACCAATCCGCATTAACAGCTGAAAGATGCGTGATTTCACTGATGTTGTTGTACAACAATTCTGTATTGATCCCAACTCGGGCATTCTTTAACTTAAAAACGTGGAAAATATCTCATTTTGTAGAGAAATGAAGGTTCTGTCTAACACTATGTTTAAAAGAATTTTTCGATGAACTTTGCAGTTGGTAGGTTTTCTGAAAAACCCCGAATTTCAAAGACCTATATCTTAGAAACCGGAGATAAGGTATTGGGATTTCAGTTGATTCATATGTATCGAAACGTGTAGAGTCCGAAAATGTGCATTGGGATCAACAAAAACGGGGAAAACGGAGTTAAAAATAGCTTGGGGGACCATCAAAAATCACATAAGTGCCGTAACGCTTGTGAAAGATGGCTCTCAGCAGACTTA